AAATTTAAAAAAATTTTTTTTTTTTTTTTTTTTTTTTTTTGCATTCCATCCTAAGAATGTTCCCTTCAGAACTCCACATTCACCTTATAGGAATTAGATTGTTCAATATGTATGTCTAATTACTTCTTTAATTTTCTTTTCTCATTTTGTTCTCCACTGCATTTCTTATATTCTGCCCTTACAATGTATAATACACCTTCTTCTTTCTGACACACCACTGAATTTTTGGCTCAAGCAACTTAATAATCTAGCTCTTGGTGGAGTTTATATGCTGTGGTGCGCTTTATAATTTACCTACTCCCCTCCCCCCCACACCCTGGGGTTGCATTTCTTCATTTATAAAATGGGTTCTGTCTTGTTCTTCTCCAAGAACATTTTCCCCTCTGCTTTTTTATGATTTCAATGAAGCCTCCCTTGGCCACATGTCTAAACCGTTTCAAAAGCTGTAGGCAGCACTAAATCCTGAAATTGGAAGAGCCAATGCTGTGTTTTCCTGAAGTGCAAATAAGTGCTGATGTCCAGACAACATGTGGATTTCTCATGACCACATGCCTTCTCCTGGCCACTCATTACGTGCCTGAGTTCCCTCCTCCACCATCACTTATCCTTAAGGAATGTGTTTACGGCCAAGGTACTAATTTTAAATAAAGAAAAGCAAAACAATTAAGGTTAAATGTCATATGTGAAACTACATAAATTCAGAAGGAAATAGCTTCCGGATGATCTACACTGCTGCTTATTCCATCCTGCATGGATGCTGAGATTTGGCATGCCTCTATCCTTGATCCAAAATATTACGTGCAATCTACAAAACTGTATCCTCTGGTAAAATATGATCCACCAGGCCTGTGTTTATAGGTCTCTTCTACTCATGCTTGCAATCCATGTTATAGGTCTTTATTAGCATTTTCAGATTTTAATTACATATCTTTCTTTAAAACAATTTCCCTTAACCGTAGGGGAACACTCCTAACATGCTGTTATATTTTTAGTCTCTTACAGACTATCCCAACATTTTCAGAGAAAGCACACTTCAGTGATCCTTTAAGAACAAGAGTAGCAGAGTGACTTTTATGGAAGTTTTTTGCTTCCTTGATAAAAGATGTGACCAACGATTTACTCATTCTTTCAATAAAGCTCTAGGAAATACAAGTATTTTTTTTCCCCAGAAAAAAAAGTATTTTTTCATGCACATCTATGGTGACCAATAGAGGACTCTATATGACCACATCTGTTTATATGCCAATATTGTCCCCGATATTTCACAAGTAGATTGTTCTCTTTTAAGTGAGCTGACGGAAACAGGAAAGCAATGAGAAAGACTGATAGAAACTTTTCTTCTGCCATTCTAACACTGTAGTATAGCCATTACTATTTTGAAACTACCATCTCATAGGGGAAAAAACCAAAGAGAACATGTGGTTAACAGCATCTAGCATGTCTGTGATGATGACCCTTGACCTTGCACTCTAGTATGTTTTAAAAGAAAAACACTGCTACATTTAATTGTCATCGGGCTCTGTGTCTTCCAGCTTTCTGGGGAAAGTTTGCCACAGTCCCTTAGCCTTTGTTGAACTTTCCAAGTTCCATCTGCAGTTTCAATCATTTAATAATTACTGTTAGCAGCACTGACTTTGAATACACAAAGGAATTTTGATTACATTATGTGCTGCCAAATGACTAAAATAAAAGGATTTCTCAGGCAGGCTTGCGTTCCTTCCCTCTACGTGTTTGTGGCTCTTGGGATGCCAGCAGGCAACACTTCAAGTGTCTCATGGAGCTGAGCGGTAGGTGCTCCCCGGGAGCCGGCTGCCTGCCGCTGGCGGGCTCTCTGGCCCCTGGCCGCCTTCAGGTTACGGCTTGTCCCAGGAGCGGTCCGCGCTCTGGATGCGTCCCCCCTTACCTCTCAGTTGTTCCTGGTTGGCCACATTGCAATGGATGAACAGAGTCTTCTGAGGCTCAAACTGCTCATCCAGGGCAGCTTTACACTGCATGCCCACTTCATAATTCCAGTCCACCAGCGCTACCTGCGGACAGAGGAGAGGAGTCGGGGACCTGCGCAGCCCCAGGGGCAGCGCGGGGACGGGACACAAACAGCAGGACGCTCCTCTCTGGGACCTGGCACTCGGCGATTAAAGGGCAGATTTTCTCCCAGCTGCTTCCGAGGGCTACTCCGGAGCATCAGCCTCGGCAGCTTCGGGAAGCGACAAGGTGGGCCCTTGGGGCGCGATCTCCCCAGCTCCCCGGGCGCCCCCGGCCTGGCGGGGTGGGGGTGTGAGCAGGGAAGTTCCCGCGGCCCGGCGCCGCTCTTACCTTGGCGCCCTTGTGCAGCAGCGCCTCGGCCACCGCTCGGCCGATGCCCTGAGCCGCGCCGGTCACCAGCGCCACTTTGCCGTTCACGTGCATGGTGCGGCCGCTGCTCGGCAGCGCACCGCCGCGGCTTTTATGTCCGGGCGCGCGCGTGCACCCCGGCCCCGCGCCCCCTGCGAGTGGGCGGGGATGAAGCCGGCGGCGCGCCGGGCGCCGCGCTGTGTCACCTTGCCCTGAGCGCTGCGGCCCCGAGCCGCGCGATCCCTGCCCTCCTGACTCGCAGCTGAACCCAGGTCACAGCCTCCCCCGTGGGCGGACGGGAGGCGCAGAAAGGCCGCTTCAGAGAAAGATCGCCCTCCGTGCACAATACTGTAATGACCACGCGTGGTGCGGGGTGGGGACTGCACATGGGGGGGGACACTTCGTAAAGTACACGACTCGGCCACTATGCTGGACACCTGAAACTAATACAAAACAGTCCTGCCTGTAAACTGTCATTGAAAAGTAAAATAAAAATAAAAAAGATTTCCCCTTCAGTGCGCTGAAGACCACCTCCAAAAAGGAGGGCAGTGGCTTGGGAACTTGCTTTCCTCCTCCTGCCCCAGGTCCTCCCTCCCTTACTGCCCCCCCCCCAAAGCAAACAAAGCAAAATTTGGGGGATTCTACTCTTTTGTCCCAGTCTAAGTTTTTGCCTTAATTCTAATCTCATGGCTTGGGGTGGGGATGGGGAGAGCCAAGTTAAGTAACACCACTGTTGTTTTTTACTTAGTTGTGCTTTTGACAAACTTGTACAGATCCTGGAGATGATAAGTGAGCTGTGCTCTGACCCTGAATCTCTCATTTCAAGGCTAGTTCTTTAAGAACCCTGTTGACACTTCTGTTTCAGATCAGTATCGACAGTGTGTCATCTTGAGAGCGCTCTGAAAGAACTGGCATCACTGACTTGCACAGGACTTCCAGGTCGCTGTCACCCTGCTGAACTGCTGGCTCAATGGAATGACTACCCGCTGAATCATACTTGCTTCCGAGCTCAGCCTTAAGCATGGGACAGAGGCTCCCCGTGCTCCAGGAACTTGGGTGGAAACTGTGTGTGAGCTGCACTCAGCCAGGCTGTTTCGCTGATCCAGTCACTTTTTCATTTTCTTTTTTTCTTGTTAACTCCCCCCCCCCACCTCCAATCTTCAACTTTATTTCTGTAAGCTTAATACCCGTTGGCATTTATTTTCATGAACAAAGAAATCTAAGCAGCTGGGGAGGCGACCTCTCTGTACGTTTGGCTGCTTACAGGACACAGGGCCACGGTGATTGGCTCAGCAGGGACGGCGTGTTTGGGGACCCTGTGTAAGAGAGACATATGTTGTCAGTAAGCCACTGAAGCAGGTCCTCAAAGTTGCTTTGAAAGTGAGTCTTGAAAAAATAATATTGAGAAGTTAAGACAAGGGGAGATATTTATTTTCTATGATGATAATTAGAATTGTAATGCGAAGAGTAAGTTGAGGTATCGTTGAAAGAGAAGAGCAGGGTCAAAAAAGAAGAGGGAACAAACAGCATCCAACGCCTCTAGCACACACACAAGACATAGAAGAGAAGGAACGGTTTCCTTATCGGGGAAAACTAACAGAAGAGACAGAAGGGACCTTTAGAGTGACATGGGAACGTGTCTGGAGAGCAAAGCACTGCAGCACATGTGGGGGAAATAGTTTCAAGAAGAAAGGAGCCGTTAATGATGCAAAATACTCTGATGAACATAAGGAAAAAGATAGAAAAAGAAATGCTTTGAATTTTTCATGACAATAATTAGTGCTGGTAAATTTAGATGGCACAGAGAATATTTGTTATAACTAATTACTTCTGGATTAATATAAAATACATATGAGATGGAGGAAAATGTGAGACAGAGTTTTTGTTATTGTTGTTATTTTATTGTGTTTGTTTTCAGCACATAGAAAAGACTGGAATCTAAGGCATAGTTTGTGCCTCTTACCCCTTTTCTTTCTTCTCAGTTCCCACTGCCATTGTCTATTCATGCCCTCACTCTCCTGTGATGATAGTAATAGCAGCTAGCCTTCTGAGTTGCTTTCTTGCCCCCAAATTTCTTAAATCCAATTCAATTTCCACAGTCCTCCAAGTAAATATTCTAGAACATAGGTGTGATCACATTTAGACATTGTCATTTTTAAAATCCTTAAAATATTTAAGCTCTAGGGCATTGCCTGTGAGGCATTCTATGCCCCATGTCTTTGCCCTAGTCCCTCTTTACATGCTAGGAAACCATGTTGGTTAAAACCTACCCCACTCTTCCACCCTCAGGCCTTTGTCCTACAGCATCTGCTCACCTGACTATCCTTTACCTCCCACTTTCTTCACTTGTCTTCCAACTCAGCTGTGAAAACTCTGCAGTGTAATCTGATGAACAAAATAGATTCGGTGACATGGAAACATGGAACAGACTGACAAATCTCAGAGGGAAGATGAAGGGGAAGAGATTAACCAAAGGATTTATATGCATGTATGCATAACCCATGGACAGACAAGAGTGTGGTGGAGGCCTGGGGCAGGGAGTGGGTGCCAGGTAGAAGGGGTCAAAGGGGGAAAAGGGGGACATCTGTAATATTTTGAACAATTAAAAACACACAGAAAAAAAACCCAACAACTCTACAATGGATACACTGATCACACTGTTGTAATTACGTCACTATCTCTGAGTGTCTTCAAGGAGAGCTGTGTCTTTATTTCTAAATGTCTCCAGCACCCAACACAAAGTATGTGCTTGTACTTGATGAATAAAGTTCAGATAAACATGAGATGGATGTTCAATCAAGAGAAGTTGGAAAATTTGAACTAGATGGTGAGATTTCCTGTATACTATAGTTTCCCTTTTAACATGACTTAAAAGTAAGATTGAAAAAAAAATTCATTGGACATATGTGCCACATCTTCTTTATCCAATCATCTATTGAAGGACACTTTGGTTGTGTCCATGTCTTGGCCACTGTGAATAATGCTGCAATGAACATAGAGGTGCATATATCTTTGTAAATAAGTGTTTTCAAATTTTTTCAGGTAGATACCCAGAAGAAGAATTGCTGGGTCATATGGTAACTCTATTCTTAATATTTTGAGGAACCACCAGACCGTTTTCCATAGTGGCTATACCAGTCTGCATTCCCACCAGCAGTGAATGAGGATTCCTTTTTCTCCACAGTTTCTTCAACACTTATTATTACTTGTCTTGTTGATAACAGCCATTCTAACAAGTCAAGTGCTTAGTCCAATTTCTGGCATGTAGTAAATGTTATGTAAATGGTATTATCACCAAGCACTATGCATATATAATTGCATTTACTATTTACAACCTCACTGTGAGGTAGTTGTTATTGGGGCCATTTCACAGATGAGGCAAACAGGTTTGAGGAGGTTAGGGAGTTGGGCTGGTATTGAAGGAGGTGGCTTTGACTCAACGTGTGACTGACTCCTGAGTAGTACTTCTTTCCTTTTTTAAAAATTAACCTTTTTATTTTGAGATCATTGTAGCTGAGCAGTACTTTTGGCCATGGTTAAATAGTGATTTCTTTAAGAAATACAAGTTAAAAATAGACAAATTCAAATCAGAATTTCTTGATCAAATATATATTTTCACACACACATACCTCTTAGTTGACTCAGTTCTGACCTACTAAGATAGGCCAGTTCTAACCTGATTTTCCTTCAGCCTGTGCCCAGGAGTGAGCACAGGCATCCCAAATATCACCTAGTCACAGGCCCAGCTCAGGAAGATACATTAGTTACCTGATGAGTATAAGCTTATTTAATTTTTAAGTAATCACAGATAAATCAATATGGAAATAGGCTTTTTTTCTTATTGAAACCAGAAAGCCCTGCATACATAAGGCACCTTATGCTAGTATTGGGGTCTAGGGTTCTTGTTTTGGCTTTGCCTCCACAAGTTACAACAGAGGAGCTGACTGTTCTTGAATATTTACTATATTCTTGTTTCTTTGCATGTTATCTTATGTAATCGTTTTCAGCCCTGCAAGGTAAATATTATTATTCTTATTTTTAGAGCTGAAACTGAGGCTTATGGAAGACAAGTGACTTATCCAAAGGTCACACTTTGAAATTTAGCAACAAACCTGGGTTCAAACCCACTTCATGTGGTTCCAAAGCCTTTGCTGTTTCTACCACACTCACTGTCTTAGACAAATGACGTTCAAATGCAGTCTCTCCTCTTGGCTGATTAGATGATTGTGGTCTGGTTGATCAACCTTTGTGGTCCTAAGTTTCCTGAGCTCTTAAGTGGGGAATAAATTGACATTCCATGAAACACCCAGTATAGTGCCTGGCACTGTTTCGTGATCAATAAATTATTACTATTATGTTCTTCCTTAATGTTTATATTTATTTTTAGGTTCAGAGATAAACACTTAGTCAATAATGGAAAAACAATGATGATAAGGAGAGATTTTTAGCTCCACAGAAGAGGTGAGGTATTTTAACTTTTCATATATTCGTCTACTAGGGCTGCCTTAACAACACAATATAGAGTCTGTGGCTTAAACAACAGGAATTGATTTTCTCACAGTTCTGGAAACTGAAAGTCCAAGATCAAGGCGTTGGCAGGTTTGGTCTCTTCTGAGGCCTCTCTCCTTGGCTTGCAGATGGCCACCTTCTGGCTATGTCCTCGCGTGGACTTCCCTGTGTGTGTGAGCTCCTGGTGTCTTCCTATCTATTCAAATTTCCTCTTCTTATAAGGACAGCAGTTAGATTAGAGTAAAGCCCATCTTAACAGCCTCATTTTAATTTAATCACTTCTTTAAAGGCCCTATCTCTAAATACAGTCATATTACAAGGTCCCCAGGGTTAGGCCTCTAACTGATGAATTTGGGGGTGGGAGGCACAGTTCATCTCATAACAGATAGGTTTTCCAATTTGGAAATGGAAGTCTGTTTATTGACTAAACTATATTGGGGGCCCTTATAAATGCATTAAGGATTAAGCCAGACCTGTAACTGACAAGACATCACATTCCTGTGAATGGTAAGAACTGGAAGGCACAGGAAATGGGAACAGAATTGAATGGCCAAGGTTATTTCTGCCAAATGG